TTATTTTGGACCATGAGTAAGAACCACATGTGCGAAGCTTATAGTCGTCGGTCTCGGATTGAATTTCACTGACTTGGGGTTTATATCCTGCTTCTCAATGGAGACTCATATTGTCATAATGCACCTGACAATATTTACAGTTACTGTGTTCTAGTGGTGGTATAAGTATGTCAGACATGCATATATCCATTTTTCACAGCAAATTTTAAATGCTGGTGTTAAAGTGGTGGGCACACTTGGCAGGCCCCTTAAAATTTCTGTTTGAATTTTCTAGTTTTTATTTGTTCTACTAATGAGGGCCCATCTGAAAATATTGTATGAGCTTACAGGGTAGGAGTTCAAAAGCTTTGTACTTCTTCCTGCTCCTTTTCCAGCATGTTAGGTTACTGTGGTACAAAAAATGTCTTTTGCATTCCTTGTTCTTGTGCATGATTTTATGCTAATATCATGTTATAAATAAATAAATATTAGATTATTGATTAATATTCTTGGTTGTTGCTATGTTGTTGTACAGTGTTTTAAGATCTTGTTCAATGTGGCCCTTTTTATCTTTGAGCCCCTACCACTCCAAAGGTCACTGCATGACCCTGAAATTGGCCACAAGGTTGCAATGCCAATCAAAACAAAGTTCTGCTGTGAGCACAGCAGACTCTGCTCAGCAGAGCCACTGAAAGAGTGGGAGTAGAGAGTAGAGGGGAAAAAGGTGGGGAGACGGCTCCATCTCTTTATGTTACTCTCCCACTTTCTCCATCAACAGCAGCACAGCGAGCAGCACACCATACGAAAGTGTGGTGTGGCCCTTCTTTTATAATGGAGAACGGCTCTCAGAGAGGAGATGGTTCCCATCACTCATTTCAAAGAGTCGGCTTTAAGAGCCAAATCGTTTGGTCACCCATCATTACAGGTCACCACAATACAACCAGCCAATTAGCTACATTTGCAGAGAGTAGATCACTAAAAAACATTAAGATTCAAAGTCTCATTTTTGAAATGGAAGCGCAACAGTTTAGTTTGCACACCCAGTCTAGGTTGACCTGCTAATAATAAACAGTCATGTCTAGCTATGGATTCTGTGTTTTCCTCTTTTATCCTCTTCTATCTGCTTACACACACTGTAGCTTACATAACTATGTTTATGTGTGACTGCTGCCAGTCATATGTAAACAGACTGAAAGTGATTAGACTATCCTTTAGGGAGGGTACAGATTGCAGAGAAGAATAAAAAGCTAAACTTGCACTACAATCCTTGCCTCACTTGGTTCCATCCATAAGGTGAGCTAAGTGTGGCCCAGTGCTGGACGGTGAATATAACTGTGTATCTGTTCCATTTGTATGACATGTATGGCTTGTAACATTTGATCATTTTTTGGCATTGAAGCCTGTTTTTATATAACCAAATCTCATTATTTCTCAAGATAATTTACACTGAGGGGTTCTGGTCGGGCCCTGAAACTGGTTAACAGATCTGGTGGAGCACAGAGATAAAAATGAATGAACTCCAACAGGATGCAGGATATTAAGGCACTAACATCCGTATCAGTCTGATAAATAAAACTGGGTTGATATTAACTTATGTGTATTGCCATCTTGTTGTCATTTCTTTCTGGAGGGGCAGGGCAGGAGGTTGGCTATGTGGTATTTGAACCCCAATCCAGAACCAGACAACATTCTGGGTGATGTATGCTGGGAAAAAGCTTTAGAAGTTGAACTTCTCACAGCCAGCTGAGCAAAGTTGGTGCCATCAACTAACTCACTCACTCTTTGGTTAGCTATCTGCACCGCAGCAATTTTAGGTTTCAGGTTCATCATGTTTCATAATTGCTTAAAAAAATGTTTAAAAAAAAATGGAGAAATTAGTAGAACAGCTGGAGATGGAACTGTGGATAAAAGCTAATCAATAATTATTGATGTTGACTGATTGTGATACATTTTTCAGCCATAGCATTTAGGCCTACCGTAAACTAGAAACTAGAATTACTTTCAGTCTGTTAAATGTGTTTAGTCACTAAATGTGTCTGAAGTAGGTTTCGCTGTGAGCATATATCCAGACAGATCAAAGCTTACCTTGATCAAACTGTTTCTGAAGGTTATCTTGGTCTGTCTTGTTTCCACTGACACGGTAAACTCCCTCAGTCGTTAGACCTGCAAAAACACAGACAATGTTCCTCATCAAAAACAGGCAAAAATTCAGTTCTGCTGTGTTAAAGCAACGTTACATGTGACGAAGATGAGCAGAATGTTATGTGTTATGACCAGGGGTCACGTTAACAGAATATTTTTCATATTTGAAACCTGCCCTTCATTCACACCCTTGACTGGTGCACATGGGCAGACATTAAAGTTTTTACGCAAAGAGTGCATTGCAGAGGCAACTAAAGTCAATCAATAAAAAAAAAATAAAATAAAAAATAAAAAAATCCTTTCTGAATATCATCTCATGGACACTGAAATGTGTCTTGCTGACCAGGAGCTGACAGCGTGTTGAAGAGTTATGGACATGAAGCTTTGAAGCGCATCTGGTTCAGGAGTGCATTCAAAGCCTTTGGTTGAAATGGCGCCACTAATTCCAGTCTCCAGTACATGATAGAGAACATAAAACATTTAAGAGAATGCAATGCTGTTTCCATTTATAGTCTAAACAGAGGAGCCGGCTGGCAGTTTATCTTGAGGAAATAAAGGCTCAGAAGTTAATTAGACTGTAACATGCGCAGTGCACGGCACAACTAATACAGCACACTGCATTAGTTGTGCGCTGTGATTTTAACAAATGGAGCTGGAAGACATTACCCTCAGAAGGAGCGCGGCAGATGTAAGATCTGTCTGTTTTGGGGAAGTGAAGCCACACAAAAAATCCTTGTAAAAGTACACGCCTGGACCGACACAAGGTAAAAAGCTCACAGAGTTCAATTGGTCAGTTTGGATCAGAAAGATCCAAAATCCTAATGAACCAGCGCAGATTTCTCTGCAGATGCGACCAGGAGGAATTTGTGAGGCTGTGCTTTCAGACCCCAACAGGTGAAGTGCTGGTAATTTAAATGGAGTTGTTTAATTTGTTATAAGTTATTGGAGCCACAGTCAGTGGTTTTTGTCACTACGGAGAAAAAGTTAGATGCGTTCATTTCCTTTATGTGTGATAGGATCTGGATTTATGGTTCAACTAGGTGAATAAAAATAAATAATAAAAATGTGTCTGAATAGCCTATCATATCATATTAATGATTATAATTTTACAGGTAAAAATAGTACATGACCGATAGCCTTACGTCAAAATGACAGACAAAAAAAAAGTCTAGCACAACCTCTGATTACGACTGGACTAGTGTGCACACTTAGGTGCCAGAAAGCATTTACTTAGCAAAAGACAAAAGGCTGCACTATTGTTTAAGCACTAAATATTCTTGAAATCTTACCAGCAATAATAATTGAGGAAAAAAATCATTAGAAATTAAACCAATTTTGCTTGCCTTCCAGCTAAGTTTAGAAACTCAGGTTTCTAACCTCCATATTTTTTTATCAGATTAAAGCTGTCTCCCATAAAATTACTGAGAGAAATAAAGCAGTGTTTCACATAAAGGAGCGTTTCACACTTTTGCAAGCGCCAGGACAGTTTTCTGGTGGCAGGAACAGCACAGTGCCTTAAGCACTATGCTGAAATATAGTGAAATATTTAGAAACATCATCAGCTCTATTATCTATGAAACTCTGTTATTCCTCTTTTCGGGTTGTCTAACGTCTGACAACAATAAATGAAAGGGCTATAAGAATTGAATACACTTTTTTCAATATTCCAAGGACATTAAGGTTTTTAGCTGGAACTTTAAAAAAAAATGGAAGAGCAACAGTTTAGTTTGCACACCCAGTTCAGTCAACCTGCTAAAAATAAACAGCCATTTCTGGCACTAACATTGTCTTTTTTTTTGTTATATTAATGTGCTGTGTTGCAGCTGACTTTGTCCACCTCTAATTCATCTAGTGGGAGACCAACACAGAAACTTTGAATCTTGTATTATATCAGGTTTACACACTACATTTAACACAAGTAACCACAGACCACAGCTAATTTAATCCTGTTTTTTGTCACCTGGGGGCTCATGGATAAAGCGTGTGTACACACAAAAAATGTGCGGCTCCATATTTTACGCACAAGTCGGCATGTTTAAAAATGAACTTTGCGTCAAAGTTTTTGTAAATATACGCACACTTATTCCATGGTGTGAAAATGTGCGGTAGCACGCAAACATTTTCTGTGAACAATATCAAACTACAATGCATCAAAACTCACCTAAATACACTGAAATCTAATTACATTTAGTTATTTAGACCAAGAAGCATCAAACCTGATGTATTTTTCATGGTTGTAATATTTTATTGTTTAAACGTAAACAATGAAACTGAAATACTCATACTGCTACAAACAAGGACATTGCCATGTTTATTGCTTCATGTGTTGGCAGACTTCCTGATATTTATACTAATTTACATATGTATTTGTGGGTGGCGACAGGGCAGACGAGAAACTGTGCTCTATTTCCCACAAATTAGGATTTATAAAGGAAAGGTGCGCGTACACATGGCTTTATGCATTCGGATTTTTATGTGCGCANTTTCTGATTTGTTCTTCTTGAGACTTTGAGGCGTTTCTTTTTTGGACAGTTATTCTCTCTGGTTTTCGATGCTGTGCAGCTGGAAATATTTTTGTTCTGTTTTTGTTTTCATATGGTTATTATAACAACTATAGCAGAAAGGTGGGTTTTTTTCTTCAACAACTAGGAGAAGCTAATCTGAAAGCTTAAATTATACCTGAACTACGACCCCAAATCCCAGAGGAGTTGAAAAGGTTTCATGGATGCAAACCTTTTCATTCTTAAAAATTTTTTCATGGATGAAAAGGAAAAAGCAAAAACCCAATATAAGATTTACTTTTAAGTTCTGATACTATTATATACCTGAAAATTTGACTTTTAATCATTTTGCAGAGCAGAGAGAGAAGGAGAAAGTTCAAATCATCTCTTCAATTAATCATAACGGGCAACGATCTTATCACCAAATCCAATGTCTGTCTGCCTGACTTTCTAACCATACAGCCAGAGAGACATTTAAAGAGGAGCTGCAAAAGCAAATGAGGTGGATTAGCAGAGCTTGCCAACAACTGATTGTCTCACCCAGGACATGTTACTGTAGAATATTGTCTCTGCTGCCAGAAATTAGGCATGTACAAACATTCTTAAGTCAGGTCTCTACAGATTTGTTGCAAAACTGACTGCTACCGAAGATCCTTCCTGTTCACAGCATCACCATACACAACTCTGAAGATACACAGATTCGAGTTACGACAACATTTAATCTACCTTTCGGATAAATAGTAGCTTTGAATTCATTTCAGTATTTTTAATTTTGTTGTAGTGCTTGATTTTGGGTATGAATTGGGTGTCCACTGCTGTCCATAAAACCTTTTTTATGGCGCACAGCCTGTGAAGTCATATATCTGTTCTCCTTTCGTCTGCTTTTCCTCTGTCTGCTGATTCTAAATTTAAACTTTAGTGAGCTATGTGCTGCTCTTTAGTTCTGCAGAGGCTGCAAAATGCATTTGAACAAAATTAGTCAATTGCCCGTTTCTCTTTATATATTTGGTTATTCACTTAAGTCAAAGTGCGACAGCCAACTATGTAGCTTTTGTTCTGGATAACCCAGACGCATAGTTCTGGTTGCGGGCCTCTTCCCTCCGGCGCTCGCTGTTCTCCAGTAAGGACATTTTAGCTGGTGGAAAGGGCCCACAAGCTATGCGGCCCAGAATAAGGCATTTGGTCATACTGCGGTGATCTTGGAATGGAAAGGTCATGGTGTGAACATGCATATAACCTTTGACCTCGTTTCTGTTCTCACCCTACAGGCATGGAAGAAGCGGTGGTTTATTCTTCGCAGTGGCCGAATGACGGGCGACCCAGATGTGCTGGAGTACTACAAGAATGACACTGCCAAGAAGCCCATTCGAGTGATCGACCTGAACTTATGTCAACAAGTAGGTTTTAGTTTCTTTTTCAAACATTTCAAACATTAAGATTTCGCCCCCCAAAAATGTAATCTTTAGATTTATTCATGTTTGACATTTTCAAAGCAACAAGCAGTATTTTATCTCTGGGATGTTTGATTGGAGAATGCCAAAGAATAGAAACAGTTGCACCTGAAATTATTCATTCAATTATTTAATGCACAAATATGAGAGGTACTTGTGAAGTTTTTGATTGTATCTTAATGTGCTGCACTGGTGCGGCGCTATAAAATAAATATGTCAGCACTGTATCGATCCATATTAAGCCTCGCATAATAATCCGAATAATTATTAGATTGCCAAAAATAAAGCTGGAAATTTCTTATAACCTGCTGTAAACATGTTTTATAGTCAGAAACCAGCTTCTAATAACGTTCATGAGGAATCTTGGGATATTAATCAGCCACCTTTTTTTTAAAATCCCACCAGAGATTAGAGTTCAAGTCAGGCATTCATTAGGGCTGTAGCTAACGATAACTGCCCCGATGAAAAGCAACTAAACTTATCGTTTCAGGTGGATGCTGGGCTGTCATTCAGGAAGAAAGACTTGGAGAACAGTTTCATATTCGACATCAAGACGATCGACCGCGTTTTCTACCTGGTGGCCGATACCGAAGAAGACATGAATAAGTGGGTGCGCAACATCTGCGACATCTGTGGTTTTAACCCTACTGACGAGGGTAAGGATGACCGACAGAGCAGTGTGTTTATTTTATTTTAGTCATGCTAGCGTTAAGAATTTGCAGCCTTTCATCCAGACATTCATTTCGCAACATCATTGTTTTGACAAGTCTTTAAGACTCATAAAACTTCAGTTGATTTGTCCTGGATTAGTTTGAGTCAACATATTGCCGTTATTGATTAGTTTTGATTCAGTATCTGTTTGCTTGCGGTCACATTTTGCTCTCCAGATGTCTTGTTCTCTGTGACAGAGTTAGGTGAGTGAGCTGAATGTGCAGGAAAGTCTCTATTCAGCACAGTTCTTAGCCAAGGTCTAATGATCCATGTGCTGATCCATGTGTGCATCCAGGCTCATGTTACTCTTGTTCCCAGTACTGGATAATCAAAGCATTGTGTGCCTGCAGGTCTTGCCGACTT